GGTTGCTTTGATTATGTAAGTTGCGTACAAAAGCGTGAAGTCCAGTGGGGTTGTCGAAAGTCATACTAAGAGCTGAATCGATGAAGCCGTGGTTGATAAATTTTGAAGTGCGATATCTTCGTCCGGGTCGGCGGTTGATTCGCGAGGGAGGTACGGAGAAGTATGGGATAATTTTAGTATTAGAAATTGCTTCCTGAGTAACCACGCCAAACCTCTTAATGTGGTCGTTTAGACCGGAAGGATAAATAGTCTGAAATAATCGTATCCAGAAGAATTCTGCATCAGTCAGTCGATGTAAATCATTTACAACTTCAAGAACTTGAAAGGACATGTAAGAAACGGAGTGGTTGTGTCTGTCAAACTGAGTATACAGGACACTGTTGGAAGTGTCGTGGCGAATATTACGAACGTGTTCCGAAACCCTAGCTCGCAGGCTTCGTTTGATTTGGCCAATATACTGTAGTCCACAGCGCTTGCATGTGACACAGTATACGACCCCACGTGTGGAACATGTAGGCAGGTGACGAGGCAAGGTGTACGTGACGACGAAGCATTTTCCAGATGTGAAACTGCGAGTGTATTGAGCTTCTGAGATGAATGCGCAGCATCTACAATCATGTCTGCAAAGTATTGTACCGGGGAGAGGATTGGTAAGATCAAACGAAATATCATAGGAATTGTCGGAGTAGGCCACATAGTAAATAGTGGAAACGTTGCGGAAGCCCGCGCCTGTAGCCATTAGGCGCGCTGGGGACGCAGGCGTTGGCTCATCCCCAGTCGGCCAACTGCCTGCAGCCAAAAGGCTCGAACCGGACGCACGCAGTCGCCCATCCGTTCGGCCTATAACACCCCTAGAGGTGCAGGAAGCCATGAAGTACTGATGATGTATCTCCATGGTGAATAGCGTTATTTGCATAGGTGTTCCTGACGTATACCGCAGAAGGCGGTGTGGCAGATGGGTCAAGATGTAAGGGGAGTAAGAAGCCAGGAGCTTGCAGCTCCAAATGATGAAGTGGCCTGGAGATGGTATTAAAGAGGGAGACGTTAGGGGAAATGGTATTGAAAAGTAAGGCGTACGGCAAGTCAATGCGTACGAAGGTGTAAGGGGTAAAGATTTTGCTGGGCCCTCTTATCTATGTTCCAAGTGATGAATTCACGTACACTTCAAGCTAATTATTTAAATCGAGAACCAAAAAGGCTACAAGTTAGAAACTTTGGGAGACTGATACTCCAAACAGCTTGGGAAATATTATCTTGAATCAGGTCTCAGGCTTTAAACTTGTGGCCTGAGTTAAGCGACCTTGTTCATTGCGCTCTGAACTTTAAAAATTATTCTGACTTGTGATTTTAGACCAAAGTCAAGGCAATTTTGTAAGTTCAAAATCCTGCAAACTTAGATATGAAATTGTGGGTTTAAGTTGAGTGAATAAGGCGCGACTGGATATCCTGAAGTGAACTTTACCTATTTTCCGGCCTATGAGCCGCGAGCCGCATTCTGGCTGATACTGAGACTCCAAAGCAAGGAAGCTATCTATTCAAAATTCTGGTACACTGCGTGCGCTAAATCGATTTCGGAATGCTAAAATGCTAAATCGTACCTTCGTCAGCTAGTGCTATTTTATTCGCCGTTGAACGCCTAGACGAGAAATTGAGTCTTGTTCTACTGTGAAGGGTATTAAATTCAGGATGGGGTGCATAATATTTGTCTGAAACACGTCAGAATTAGTCGGAAGGCGTTAATTCGTGTTCAGAATCAAAAAATTAGGTCCATACAGGTTGCGCTACAAGATTCAGTTGAACAATCAGACATGACAAGTGCAAGGAAGAGCTTAACTTTCTCACATTCTTAGAAGGACGCACTGCTAATCCACTGTATATTTTTCATATTATGTGCAATGTTTCACTTGTAAGAAGCATTTATTGCGTCTGTGAATGATAAATAGACTCTCTCTTTCTAGTGAGATTCGTTTCGCGCTAACTCCGAACACATGCAGAAACTAGTGAGCAAAAAAATGGCTCTTGGAAAAACACTCAGTCTTCAGTTATTTCGGAAGGCTTGAAGGCCACAGCAGTTTGGCTGAGCAAAAAAAAAAAAAAACTATTTTTATCCTTTTTTGTAAGCGACTATTCAGAACAGCGAGCAAAAAATGTCAATTCATTAATACAGCTCGGGTACTACAGTGGAGGCGGTTGAAGGGAAACACCGGGATTACACTGAGGGTGCACATTTTGCTTCTTTTGAATACGAAAAAACTGCCCTCTCAACAACGAGGCGTCTGTCATCCGTACAGCCTACATCTTTATTTGTGCAAAAAGTAATAAATGCTTGGGCAGATTAAGGAAGCGTTAGCTGCCCAAATTCAGAACCTCTGAGACTGTCCGTTCTGTGAAATTCATGAATTATACATGCACTCCAGCAACATTTTTTATTGAGACTGTTTCAAATGTGACGCAAATTCTCATAAACATAGCTCAAAGAAATAATTCAGTTTCAGTCTGGGAACCCGATGATTTGGTAACGCATTAGAAATTCACAAGAAAAAATCACAGCTGCAAAAAAAAAACCAGCATAACATGCGTAGATAACGTAGACCAGGTCGCACATTCACTTTCAGTAAGCCTGAGGCTTAGCTGGGAGAATCCAGAAGTTTCTGAAGCAGGTGCTTGCTTTTGTAATACAGACCAAGTCGATCGCGTCCATATTCCTGAAATATAAAATAAATGGAGGCTCACACCAGCGTAGCCGGCGCAATCATGGATTTTGCGCGGTTTCGTCCAGTAGACGTTTGCCGTTAAGAATTTTCATTGCTTCATGCCCTAGTGAAGGAAAAAATAGTCGATACATTGTCTGATTCGTAAGCTGCGAAATTTCCCATCAAAAATTCCATGTGCTCGAGCGTGAGACGTAGAAATACGTGGGAAATGAATTTAAATTTACAAGACTGCGCATGAACAGAAATAAAACCTTCGAAAATTTTAGCTATCTTGTTTGATTTTCCGAAATAAAAATTCCCCCCGTGAAATCCCACCTTCCGTACGTGAAACTTTAAACGAACAAGAAGGCTGAAATTGAAATTCCAGGGTTGTACATCAGCAGAAAGCAGCGCCTAAAATTTCCAGCTTTTCATTTTGTCCGGTTCCCGAAGCAGAAGATTTCAGTCACGCTTAATTGTCCGTGTGCTATTTGGATGCTGAGTTCGAATTTATATGGTCGCACAAATGTGGGAAATATCTTTGTAACATGTCAGCTTTCTATTTTATCCAGTTTTCGCATCAGAAAATTTCCCGCCAAAGCCTTCATGCATTCGTAAGTGAGAGCTAGGAGTACATGGAAGCCAAATTCAAGTTCGAGAGGTTCTGCACATGCAAAATATTTTAAAATTCCAGCTACCTAACTTTTCTGGCATAATTAGTAACTTTCTCATCAAAACCTTCAAGTGCTTGTACGTAAGATCTAGGCTCGCTTGGAGGCTAAATTCATGTTTGTGGAGTTGCGCATGGGCATACACACATCCTACCAAAATTTTAGCTTCCTAGCTCTTCTGCTTCCTGATTTAGTAATTTTCACGTCAAAACTTTCACGGCACAGTGCGTGAAAACAAAGCGTACTTGAAGGCTGAATTTGAATTTGCGATGTTGCACGCAGGCAGAGAACATACTTTTAAAATTTTGGTTTCATAGCTTTTTTGGTTCTTGAATTGAAAACCGGGGACAAAACGCACCCAGGCACACGCACATACATACATGTACACGTAAATACTCACATGCATAAATACATACATACACATGTACATACAAACGCACGTACGCACATACATACATATATCCTTATACATACATTCATTCATACGTACATACATGCATATATACATATGTATACATTTATACGTATACATGTATATATATACATAAATACCATACATAAATACAAACACATACGGTTAGGGGCGTGATAATATGCGTTTTGTGCAACTGTCACAGCACAAAACGCACAAAAGTGAGAATGCGTACATCACTGCAATGTACAGCAATAATCATGCATTTCTGCGGTGCAGCACTAGAAGTGTGGACGCTGGAATCCTGTGAATGTGTTCCCTGGCCAAGTGCGCCTTCAAAGGTGTGGTATCAGCTTCACAAACCTCTGCGTTCCACATACGAACACGTGGGAATTCTAGCGGGAAAATCATCAACTCGGCAATCAGTAAAGCTAGGAAGCAGAAATTTTGAGAGAATGTTCTCCCCTAATATACGATACAAAGATTTCAAATTCAAATACTGAGGCACGCCCAAGTCTCACGCACGAACGTATGAAAATTTTGGCGAAGAAAGCTAGGAATCTGAAATTTTAGGAGGCAAACATACTGCAGCATATTTTACACACAAAACTACACCACAGGAATCAACTGTCATCACGTCTGGATCAAAAATTCAATCCTGCTATAAGTAGATAGCGGCGCCCAGCAAGGTAGCGGTGCGTTCATGCGTTTTACGCAGTTCCGACTAACAGACGCTTGTCTCTAAAGACTTCCGCTATTTTATGCTTTGATTGGTACAAAAACAGTTGGTTTGTTGTCTGGCTTCTAAACTGCGAAATTTTTCACTAAAAATTTCACGTATGGGTACGAGAAATGTAGGCGCATGCGATAGGTGAATGTGAACCTTCGACAGCGAATATCCTTCCAAAATTTCAATCTTCTAATTTTTTGGTTCCCGAGTGACTTTCGTACCAAAATTTTCACGTGGTCTTACATGATACCTTGGCAAAGGAACTAAGACTGAGTTCATGCGGCCCCCGCATAGATTGAAAACATCCTCCTGAAATTTTCAGCTTCGTAGCTCTTCTGATTCCCAATGTAATAATTTACCCCGCCAAAACTTTCATGGGGCCGTGCGAGCATACAGGCATGCGGGAAGGCTTAAACAAAAATTGCGAGGTCACACCTGGGCGGGCAAAATTCTAAAATTTCAGCTTCCAAGCTTTTGTAGTTCCTGAGTGATCGCACTAGCCCCTGCTGCACGCCGCAATTAAGATTTTGTACAGTGTAAGTTCCGAAAGAAAACGTACAGCGAATCCGAAATCGACTGGAGACACTTCAACTTGTAGCAAACCCCAAACGCCCCAAAAGAAGTGCGAAACTGGAACAAACGGCCTCGTTTCCTTCAATACACTAAAGCGTTAATTTGCAAAGCAAGACTGAAATATATTTGTAAACCAGAAACGCCGGCATTCCTCCCCATCTTTAAAGGTGGCCAAGCCCAGAGGTTAACGCCCAGTACAGCCATCCTTACAACTACAAAACACTGAGGATAATGGGCTAGAAAACGCTGTCACAGATGAATTCACTAACACATTTGCCGAAAACAGACCAATAAGAAATTTAGCACCACATTAAGCCAACCTGTGTTGTGTCTCCGCTAACATTAATTCAAATGCGTGTTAACGGTCGGAAAAAGAATACTCATCAGTTCAAATCCGCTTCACGTTATTTCAAATGTCCACCTCCCCGCATTAATTGAAAAACTGCATCCCTTCCTATTTTCCTTTACTTTCTCCATTCTCAGCGACATCTGACACTCTTTGTCTAAAATTTGTTCCCCTCAGCAAGATCTAGCATAACACACTTATTCTGATGCCAAAATAGTCGAACTCAGCTTAGCTGCACTCAAATTTCCACCGCCATTCACTGCATCCTGTTGTAGCCAGCACTGTTTACAACCCGCAAAAGTATAACTCTAAAGTGCAAATGTAGACAAAAACCTCAATCATAGCCTGCGCTTGCTTCCTGCAATAAGCAGCCGCAGAGGTCGGCTCGAGTGCATTCAAATAAGAAACAAAGAAATTGAGTTGGAGTTGATCACTCGGAAATCGACGCTCATCGATCTCGTAGAACGGCGCTTCATCGACATTATAGTTGATTGAGTATTCGACGAAATGATTTGCAAAATCGAATCCCCTGAAAATGTCGTCCGGTCCCTTTGTACGTCATGCCCCCCTCGATGCATACAGATTTCGCACGTTTTGTAAAAATGTATGGATACAAGTTGTATATCTTTTCCGCCCACCTCACCACCGCCCATTGCTCCTCATAAAATGGCGACTGGAGGAGACGGATTTATCCTTCCACATCGTCCAAAAAACTCACATCTGGAACTGCTGATCAGAAACGGTCTTTGTTCACGGACTTTTAAGCATGTCGCCTAGTTTAGACAACGACAAATTCGCTTCGCCAACTGCTGTTAAAAATCCAGTCTTCAAAGAGGATAGCATCCTTACCGGCTCGAATTTCAACAGAAAAGTAATGCAAGCATGTTATAATATAAAAACAAGATTTGTAAGATACTATTCATATAAAAAACACCTGTAATTATAGCTTGCGTATTCAAAGTCGATGACCACTAAGCGAGGTACATTTGTTGTGCAGAGTGTGTTATGGTGCGGCAACTCACTCTCCGGTGGCATGCGAATGTTACCAGAGCTCGCTCGTGGAAGTAAGATGTTACCTGTAGTAATTCTTCCGATCACATTCATGCACGAATTTTCATTAATTCTCTAAGTCTGTGCCAAAAAGCATTTGAATACGCTTGGCCTTCATTAAATAATTTGTCAAAGAGCAACAAATTTTCCCCTGATTCCAGTTCACAGGCTACTCTGCAAACAACCCAAAATATCCCAGCCAGAGGGACTGCCATATCAAACCACGCATATGACAAATGATTCCATTCAACTACTAATCCCTTTAATAAAGCGTAATTTTGGTGTGACGAGTCGCGAGAAAGGAGAACAGAAGAAAGGCATTCCTCTCATCACCAAAAAGCCATTAATATGATTTCGATTGTCGGCCGACGGTTCTTAACCGCCGGCCAACAACTTTTGTTTTTATGCGTTATAGCGCTGCTACAGCAAGCAAAAACGCGTATTGTTGACAGGCTGTCTGTGTGTGTGTTTGTGTTCGGAAGCGAGTGCATTTTGTCACTCTTTCATTTCAGCAACCAGGAAAGCTGAGAGGCTGAAATTTTGGGTATATGTTCTTACCCCTGTGTCATACTCCCGTTTTAAAATTTTCGCTTATACGCGCCTAAATCTCGCGTACGGACCCCAAAAAAAATATGCAAATTTCGTTGGCGAGAAACAATTTCGCGAACCAGGCAAGGTACAAAGCTGAAACCTTGCAGGGATATCCTCTGTTTATGCGTGACTTAAACATTTCAAATTCAGCTGCCGCGCACGCTTGTGCAGCGCGTACGACTACGTCAAAGCTTGCAACTTGGTACTATGCTAACTCGAAAACCTGCAGGAAAATAGTGGCTGAAATTTTGTGAGGATGTTTGTCTCCCATACAGGAAATCGTATACCTAAAATGAGTGCCGACTTGCACTTGCGCCACGACTTAGGGCACTCGAAAGATATTTGTAACGAAGTGGATATTTCGCTTGCCGGATAACGTGCGAGGCTAAAATATCGCTGAGGTAACCTACTTTCAAAAGCGGTCTTAGTTCCGCTTAGAAATGAAATTCCCTGCAGGTGGGCACGAGAAATGCTCAACTTTACCGAAAAACCCAGAAACGAATGCGTTTTGCAGCGAACGACAGCCCTCATCCAAATATGTAAAGGAACATTTAGTTCATTTGCATGCTTGGATTTTTTGACAAATGACCGCTCGAACAACACTTCCACTTTTTAGTGAACTGGAAATCTGCATTTTTCATTCCTTCAAAAAGCGAGCATTTACCAAAAAACGACCGAGCTTCATGCAAAAAGCTGGTAATCATGTACCTGGAAGTCCGTACGACTCTACAATGCACCACCTTCATCCCAACCGACGCCCCTCCCCTTGCGCACTGGAAGAGGCCAAAGCACGGTCAACATGAGCCCAAATGTTTGGCTACAGCGCAGGGACCATTCCTGCTATTAGCGACCTGCGATTTTAGTGCAAAAACGCATGATCGCACCGGCAAGCCTGGTGCGTCCCAGCCTGGATTATTACTTTGTAAAATATATTACGTAATATTACCCTATCTGCCACGGCCCTTGTCCGTTCCCAACCATTTCATTCTTTCAGTCATTGCGTCTACGAGACAGTCGAGTCCCTGCCTCCTCTGGGGGGAGCCCTTTTCCCCAGCCGCCCGATTTCGCCATCGCCCATCGACAGAAAACAAAGGCCCAGTGAACCAAGTGTTCTCTGGCACTCACAGGACTCCGTGAGCCAATTATTCTCTGCCGCAAACCAAAGAAAGCCGCATGAGTCAAGCATACCCTGGCGCCTACTGAAAGGCGCCATAAGCCAATCATTCTCTGTTACCCGCCAAAATGGAAAGCCCCGGTGATCAAGAACTGCTATTGTCCAACGAGGGGTTCATATCGCGAACAGTTTTCTCCATCAAATGTCAAGCGTCCGGAAGAGTTAAACCGCAGTCACCAAATTGTTTAGTAAGACCGCAAAAATTTTTTTGGATACAGGTTTTTCGGCAGAATGACCAAGCAGTTCTTGAATTGCGGTATTACCTTCTTGTAAATCGTTGTGGCAGAATGTGACGATGCTTTTGCTTTTGCTAATGCACCTCCTGCAAGCTGAAATTATGGTCATTTGCCATCCAAAATTCCTTTAACGGCAAAGTGCTTCTTTAACAATTCATTTCTAGCAATAACTGTTAAATACGGCAGCATCGTATTATGTTGGGCGCTACAAAGATTAAACAGTCACTTAAGGTGCTCAAACTCGATCGCGATATCCTCACAAGTGATCCTCCGAGGAGCAAATTCAGAATAACAGCTTGGGATGATAAATTCCTGCGAACCGCTTGGCGTTTGTATAAGCTGCTTCAACCATCTAGGTGGAAGAAAAAAATTAGGAAAAAGGATAAAATTTAGACAAATTCTCACAACAGACGAGCCCTGACAACAGTTGCGCAAAACATAACAAAATGATTTACAGAAGAAATGTAACTTACCTACTGAGTGCATCGCATATGTAGTCGGGTTCCTTCCAGATAGGCACTTCCAGCTGATGGATCTGCACCAGCCGCTGTGCTATTTTGCTGGACATTTCCGGCAACGCAAGCTCTTTCCAAGAAAGTGGTCGGGACTGTAACAATTAACACTGGAACTAAATCGCATATGTTTCAAGCAAGTTAAAGGAAGATCAGAATGCAAATTACTATTTTCATTCTTTTGCTTCAAAACTGCACTACGTGGCACAACAAAACTACAGCTAGCACGCGAAATTTGTATACAGGAATATATTCCTCCAGACGTCCGCCACTGAATACTCCATATAATTTTGGACCAAGATGACGCTCCGACAATAACGTGAATATGACAGATTCCGCAACCAGATGGCTTTCAGTTTCTGGATTAAAATAAACTCGCAAAAGTACTTTATCCGGTTCGCTGGACAACGGAGGGCATGCTTCTGGGAGACGGCACAGGAATAACATGTTACTCATACCGCCTCTGCAATACAGCTGTATGTCACCATAAATTTCATATCTGTTGGCACTTTCAGTATTAGATAGAACATGCCTTCTAAAGCGAAGTAGCTAAAAAAAAGCTCCTTGCTTTTTCAAAATAGAAAGCAACAAGTATTACCTCAGTCGCTGCAAGTGCAACTCTTTAATGCTAACGGCTTTCCATGCGCCACCAAGAAACCTGGCGCACAGCATATGAGTACGTTCTTTTAGTTCAAATATGGTGTTAGCGTCTGTGTCCGGTTCTAATTCCGACAAAATCTGCTTCATACCCCTTCAAAGCAAACGACATGGTGCTTGCAGAAAAAGCGAGATAAAAAAATCAGATGCAAATCTGACTACACGAATTATGCCAATAATGTATCAAAGCGAGATGGATAAAGCTGCTAATCAGTTCGCTACATTCCGCCTTATACTCCTCGTCACCCCCTCCCCCCCCCCCCCCCCCCCC